TAGCTTTGTGCCTTTCCTGGAACTCACTTGGTAGCCCAGGCTGGCCTCAAACTCACAGAGATCCACCTGCCTCTGCCTCCCAAATGCTGGAATTAAAGGCGTGCACCACCACCGCCCGGCGTGTATGGTTTTTCAAGACAGGATTTCTCTGCGTAACAGTCGTGGCTGTCCTGGCATCAGCTTTGTAGACCAGGTTGGCCTTGAACTCACAGAGATCCACCTGCCTCTGCCTCCTGAGTGCTGGAATTAAAGGCATGCACCATCACTGCCAGGCCTCTGCACTGTTTTAATGCTCCACATTATTATTCCTTTCCATTTCATCTGGTGTTGTGGAAGGTGCAGTCTTAGTATCAAAGAGACACTGGGAAAACTTGGGTTTACAATGCCAGACCTATTCCTGTAAGCTGATCTGGGAGAACAGAGACCCCTGGGTCAGGGTTCCCCCAGGAAGCTACAGCATCACTCCCTGCCGCTTTTCCAAAGTTTCGCTGTATTAGAAATAAATTCAGGATCACAAAATTCAGGGTCGCAAAGAGACCACCATTTCAACTGTGGTCTCTGGACAAGGCGAACTTGACTCTTGATCAAGAGGGTGTGCTCCGGAAGAGCAAGCACAGGCTGCCTAGGACAGGAAGTGCACTTGGTTTCTAGTCTAAGGAAGGTGGTAACTGTGTCTCCCACCCCACCTCACCTCCCCAGCCAGCTCACAGAATTAGCAAATAGCAAATGGAGGAAGGGAAAATGACTCACTATTCCAAGGAGAAAAAGCTCAGGCCATCAGAACAGAGTAGTGGGCTCTTGAATTAACAAAGGTTTTACTGGCTAGGGAGGATTAAAACATTTTCGAGTCTTATGAGGTAGAGGAGACAAAAGGATTCTAATTCCTTGTCCTAAACACAAGTTTTATAGTATTTGATAGGAAAGACTCAGATTTGATATTTCTTGCAGCTGTGACACCAAAGGCCACCTGAATTCCATCCACAGAGCTCTACGGTGTCCCACCTGAAATTGTCAAGGTAACAATCATAACTTCTGGAGCTTTTACCTCATGGCACACCCTCATCATTCAGAGCCACACGGAGCCACCTTAGGGGACAACAGCCATTTGTTTGTTGCCTGTGGATGAATCCAGACTCTAAGTCTCCAGAAAGCGAAGGTTCTGCCTTGTAGAGGCCCTGTTCAGAGTTCAGTTCAGAACTTGGCCCATTGGTGTTCCTTCAACATCATTTAAATAAAATACACCTGCATGTCTAATTTCAAAACCTGAGAAAGAGGAGCTCATGCCAATTTATGCTCACTTCCTTGTCATTCTGGGAGCTCTGATCTATCCCAACATGTGTGGAAAAGATTGACAACTACCCAGCTGTGACTGAAAGAGCCAGATCTGATGTGCTGGAGAACGGGTTCTTACTGCCCTCTGCTGGCCAGGATGACTCCAGATGCTTCTGCACTCATGGTTCTTCCTGAGTTCAGTTTGAGCACCCCAAAGCCAAGTGCAGATTTCACAGGCCATCCCCTCTTCCACACAAGACTCCCGGATCTTCGGGCCAGGAAGATGCTACCCTGTTCCCAAAGTCCTCAGGGGGTGCTTCTCATCCCCTTTTTCTGACAGTAGATTTATATATCAAGGAGCTAAAAATGGACACTTGTAAAGTGAATGTGAACTGCTTTTCCAGGGACAGGTCTGTGCTTTCAAGATCTCCTATGGGTGGACAGAGAGACTGAATTTTCAGGTCAGTCACTCCTCTGAATACAATAGACTGCTTGAAGCCTCACATCGTTGGCATTCCATGGATGTATCCCCCCTGCCTGGAGTTGGAAACTGAGAACACAAGCCAGGGGTTGAAAAAAATGATAACTCTCCTCCTATGTCTGTAGGGATGTTTCTGGATTTCTTTTCCTTTGAATATATTGGGGTCAGGGGGAGGCACTACAGCAGAAAGCTGCTAGGGAGACACCTCACGGGTTCTGCAGCGACTCCCCAGCCTCAGGACCAGGGTCTGCCACATCACTGTACACTTAATGAATGAGTGAGTTGAGCCCTAAGGAAAACATACTTTTAAAGAGAAATATTTGGAAAATGGTACAAGCATGTCGATAATATGGTGAGCCTTTACTTCGGAGACAGCATCATCTCTTCCATTTAAAACCCTTTGGGGAAGGATGAGTTCTCACTCATCTTAAACATTATGGAATCGGGGGTCTAGAAGGAACTTATTAACTCATCATTCTGCACTCATCTGATTCCGTTCATTCATAGAGGAAAATAAGGCTCTGTCAGGCTGAGTCACCTACCAGCACAGCCCACAGGAAGTCCAGGTTTTTATCCCTAGAACTTCATTGTTATTACATTTATTTCTTTGTGTGTGTGTTTGTGTGTGTAGATCAGACTAAACTCACGTCCCCAGACTTGATGGCAAGCCTTTATCTGTTGAACCATCTTATCATCTGTGCCCATCAGACCTCCTACAGAGCAATGCTGTTTCATTTTTTATTATATTAGTATAATATATTAGTATATGTCCTGCTGCTGCTGTGCACGCACGCACACACTCACGCACGCACGCATGCACACGCACACGCACACGCACACACCACCCAAAGAATTTAGTGAAACACCCACTTTCCCATTTAATCTATCCTGGCTTGTTGTGTATTCTATTCTATTTTGCCTCTATGTTATTGTGGTCACGATTTGCTAAATCAACTTTACAATCATCAGTTACCAAAAACTATACTATAGTGTCCTGCCTACAATACTCTATGCCTGTGCAAAGATAAAGTCTTTCAGACTCTCTGACAGTAAGGAAGCACTAGGGTGATCAGCCCCTTGAGGTCTCTAAGCTCAAAGATACTGCTTTTTTGACCTGGTGATATAAGCAGTATCGCTCCTTTAAAGATTCATTTCCCTCCTAAGAGTCCTGTCCAAGCAACCATCCTTACCCTCCACTGTAATCACAACAGTGTGTTCCAAACACTGACCAGAGTCACCGCAGCAGCCCTGTCGCTGTCCCTGAGGCTCTGAAACACACACGTTGGTTGGGCTTTGCATCCCTATGCAAAATAGCATGTTCTTGTCTCCCACAGGCCTTTCTGCCTCTGATCAAAAAAGCATTGTGGGGAGGAAGAGCAGGGCCGCCTGAAAGAAGAGCAGAGAAGGGACGGGAAGAGGAAATGACTCTGAGGTCATTGGTCATGTGAGTGAGTGTGTACGAACAGATGGACTGCTGAGTGATCTAAAACTGGCTTGCTCTCTCTCTCCCTCCCTCCCTCCCTCCGTCTTCACCGCTCCCCATACCAGTTCGAGCATTTAGAAGGCTACAAGACATTTTCCTCTTTCCTTACCACCTTGTCATTTTCTCTATTATCTCTTACCCCAGTTTCTTCTGTCAAGCCCCGCCCCTCCTGGTTTTGAAACCCTCTATGGAGAGTGGTTTCTTGGCTTTCTCTCATCTAGCCGAGAAGTTGGAGCTTTCTGCATTGAGTTGAGCTCCTACTTTCCTGCTGAGACTCAGCAAGACAGAACTTGGCCGGAGGGTGCCTTGTGGTGGCCAGAGCCTAACCACACAGCCACCGAGTACAGCGCCCTTCCTCCCTGACACCAAGCAGAGAGAGCATCCAGCATTGGCAGCGCGCACCGCAGTCTCGGAGCAGTGCGGACTCTGCAGGCTGTCCATCCCTTACCAATGAGTCCAGCCAGGCTGCCAGGCAGAGAAGCGCAGAGGAGGAGCTGGGACAGGGGACAGGGAACAATGCTTCCCAGATGGATTTGCTGCTCTTTTTCTCAGCTGTTGGGTTCCAAACCTGGGGTTCTGCTCCTGAAAGATTCAAGTGAGTGTGGAAGACAGGAGAACACCAGGCGAACTCTACCTCTGCTACCAATGTACCCTGTGACCATGGGTTAGTGAATGAACTTCTGTGACTCGCGGTGCTGTGTGACTTAGAGTCTGTGACTTAACTTCTCTGGCTCTCCGTTTATTGCATTTTAGGGTGAGATGTGGGACTAGGTTTTAAACCATAACAATTAAGCTGGGTGTTGGCACCTGGCACTCAAGAAGCTGAGAAGGGGGACTTGGAGTTTGAGGACAGCATGGGTTCCAGACCAAAACTACTACGAACGAAACAAAAAGGTTTTTTTTTTTTTTAAATCAATTAATTGAAAAAAAAAAACAATTGCTTTCTTGTACTGACTGTACATGGTCCATAGTAGCTGAGGAAAAACATCTCCTTTGAAAGGTGTTCTAACAAAGTAACTATGGACTATCATCATTTTGTAGCATCCAGTGAGCTGACTAATGAGGACACTGAGTTCCAAAGACCACTCGCCTCACAAAACGGAGGGACAAGCAGACAGGGTGCACTTCCTGATGAGAGGACACAGCACCCTCCCACAAGCCAGCTGAGAAGATCCACCTTCCGCTTCCTTCCACTTCTAGCAATCAGTTTGCAGAAGACAGAGAGGCCAGAGAACGCCTTGTGAGAGTAACCTGCGGCGTCCACGTCCACACTGTGAGACACCGCACGGAACGTGCTACCCTGGCTTGTGTAACTCCAAGAGAAGGCTGCAAGAGGACCCCGAGTACAAGAGGCTGATGGGATGTGTCGATTTTCTATTTAAAGGAAAAGACCACACAAGAAAGTCGACCGTCACAGTAGGTGATAAAGGAAAATACGGAAATCATTACTTGGCAAAGAGAACCATCCTTTTATGGAGGATGGAAGCTGTGACTGGGACAGGTTTCTGGCGGCTTCTGACAGATGCGGCTGGCCACTCTGTTTCTCCTGTGTCATTTCCTGTGTCTGTATTTTATTTCACAAAAGGAAGGCTTTAAAAGGTGACTGAGGTGGACTGGGGGTGTAACTCAGTGTTAGAGCATTTTCTTAGCAGGTGTGAAGCTATGGGGTTGGTCACTGAACACACGAACACACATACACACACACACACACACACACACACACACACACACACACACATGCACACACGCACTCAGAGGTTGTATGCCTTAAATACATTCAATGAAAGAGCTAGAGTAGAAAAGGCAACTTTTTTCTTCAAAGAGCTGAATGTTGGCATTCTGAAATTCTAAATCTGGAAAATGCCAGCCATTGTAATTGTAAGATTTACAAAGGGAGCAAAAAAAAAAAAAACCCGTGTTGTTCTGGAGGGCAGAGCCAGGCTACGCAGGGCTGGGAGTCTCCACTCCGCCACCTCCGTGCTGTGACAGAGGAAATCCAGCTGTTCCAATCCATTTTTCCTCATCTAGCAAGTGGAGCTGATCATAGTTCCTGCCTGTGGTGACAGATAAATGAGACACATGCTACTCTGGTCTCAGAGCAGGCTGGCTCCATACAAGTTGATTATAATTATTACTGTGATTACATTTGTTACTCTTCCTTACTTATTTCCAAGGACAAGAAGGTTCCTTATTGTCCTCTATGCATTTCTAAAATTTCATTATTTGATTTTGTGTGCTAGCAAAGGAAGAAAACCACCTTTAATAGAAGAGCCCTTCCTTATATGGAAATCAATAAGGTCTTTATGGGAAAATTCCCAGAATCCATTCCATTTCATTAAGCTAAACTTTCCTAAAGACCTACTACACTGTTTGGTGGATATGGGCCTCTCACCAAGATTCTCACTAATCGGGTATGATATAGTTCTGTTTTCAAAAGGTTACAAACTTCTAGGGAGGGTTGTGTTATTTGACTGGTTTTCCCTCTAAGTTCATGTTGAAACTTAATTGCCTTAGTAATAGCAGTAAGATGGACACTTTTGAAAAGGGTTAGATCCCATGGGTGGCACCAGTGCCAGTATAAAAAGGAAACTTCAGAAACTGCTCAGCCTTTGGGTCTGGTTCTTCCACTCATCTGCCTGTGATAGCAGAGTTTTTCACCTCCAGTACAATGTCCTCTTTTTTTTTTCCTTTCTTTTTTTTCCCAGAGCTGAGGACCGAACCCAGGGCCTAGCAAGCGCTCTACCACTGAGCTAAATCCCCAGCCCCCCCCCCCCCCCGCCCGTGTTCTTATATATGTAATTCCGTAGGTCAAAGTTGCAGCTAGAGTTTTTTTATATTTATTTATTTGTGTGTGTGTGCGTGTATGTGTATGTACGTCACAGCATAGGTGTAGAGGTCACAGAATAACTCGTGGGAGTTGGTTCTCTCCTTCTACTGTGCCGTTTCCCAGAATCGAACTCAGATCATCAGGTTTGGTGGCATTTGCCTTTACCCTCTGAACCATCTCACCACCTCCGTTTTAATTACAGCGTTTCAGGCAGCCTAGGTTGTACTTGGGAAAAATCCCTGCTGAGCAGCTTGTGCAAATTCCATCATGTACTCACCATATATATTTAATTTCCATCTATGTGTGCTTCATTAAATCAGTGGTTCTCAACCTTCCTAACACCGTGACTCTTTAAGACAGTTCTTCACGTTGTGGTGACCTCCCAACCATAAAATCATTTTCGTTGCTATTTCATAACTGTAATTTTGCTACTGTTATGAACCGTGAAGTAAATATTTGATATGCAGGATATCCAATTTGCGATCCCTGTAAAAGGGTCACTTGGCCCCAAGGGGTTGTGACCCACAAGTTGAGAACCACTGCATTAGCATGCTAGGACTCTTTTGGTCACCACAACAAGCACATGCAAATATCATCTCTTTGCTCTGATGTTGTGGCTCAGTGATAGAGACCTTGCCTGGTATACGTGCAGCTCTGGGTTTGATCCTCAGCAACCATTTGTTAAGTGAATAGTCAGCAATGCTAACATTTGAACAGGTACATGCCAGTGGCCATGTCCGAGGAGCCGCAGATGGAGATTGACTTCAGGGGATCGGCCCACCGGGAAACACAACCCTGGTGAGTGAATCTTGGATAGGAAGAGCCCCAAGAGCCCCAGCCCCAGAGTGTTTCTTGTTACTGCTGGGTCTTTACATGTTTGCCGCTGCTGTTTTTCTCTGGTATCTGGCATGGTGTGGGTGGGCATAGTGTGAATGAGAACCCCATTGCTCTTAATGCAGTGTGGTCATCTCTTAGAAATATCCCGTTCTCCTGGGCATTTTTACCTGTGGATTGTTATGAAGATGATTTCCTCTTAGCTGTACTGTTTAACTGAAGCAAGGATTTTATACAATAATCGTGTTAGTTTAAGTAGGATTTTGATGATTGTGGGTTTTTAATAAATAGAGTAAGAAATTATGATTGAGGTTATTTTAGTGGAAAAATTAACACAGGTGAAGGTAGGATAAAATGTTGCCCCTGCCCCTGAAAAAGCAGAAGCTGTAGAGGATAAAAAAATAAAACAAGGAAGCCAAAACACCTGAGTTTCTATTGAGGAGCCATATAGGCTGTGGCTGAAGTTAATGACTAAGAAAAACAACTGAGTCCCAGTAGCTCAGCTGGCTTAAATTCTTTTAATCTTAACGCTAAGAGATGTGTTCACAGGTTTCAGAGCGCATCATAGTTGAAACAAAGCTTTGAAAATAACTTAAGGTTAGACTAAGATGTTGATGTCAAATAGCTTTGAGGTGAAAAATCCAAGAAGACAATCTAAAGTTTTAGAAAGGGACATAGTTGAGTGAGGGACTTGTTAGGGTCAGGGAACAAGAACAAAGCAGCCCAATTATCATTAGCTGACGTGCCTTTCTTGCTAGGATGGGTTGGTGACCAAAGCTGATGATTAATTCCTTATGCCCATTTCTCCCTCAGCTTCCTGATATATAAACTGTTGATGAGTGAGTATGTGCCCTGATGATTTAAAGTAGATATGACTGTTTTTTCACATATAAAAGTTTAGATTTGTAATTCTAAGATTTCTTATAAGATTACCTTTCAAGGTAAAGTGATTGATTCTTTATGAATGCAATATACAGCCTGCCAGCAAAAGAACTGGCTGAGAAAAATACCCTGTTTGCTTACACTCTGTTAATCTATAACAAGTTGCTTGGATGTGAATATATATATGGGGTTTTGGGAAAACTTGTTTTTCACCTGTAATACATAAAATAATTAATCATGTAAGGGAAATGGTAAACATGTTTTTTACCTGTATTCATTATAATCATTCACTTTGAAAGACAGAATGTAACCACATTGTAATTTTTATATTGCCTGAAAGATTTTGTTGGGATAAATAAGCTGTAGAGGAAAAATAAAGTTGGAGGAAGAATACATTAAGAAGGAAACCAGAGAAAGAGAGAGAGAGAGAGAGAGAGAGAGAGAGAGAGAGAGAGAGAGAGAGAGAGAGAGAGTCAGTCTTTGGCCTTAACCCCTCAGATAAAAAAAGTCTTAGTACACTCACTCTGTGGGTCTCCTTTGAGCCCTGCACTGCTGGAGGCTGGTCCTCATGGTAGGTACATCTATCTGTCACTACTGAGTATTCATTTCCAAATACTACAGTCAAATTTTAAAGTCCTCAAATTTAAACAAGAAAATATGCCAAAGCATTGATTTGGTTTGTACTGAATCATTTCTACACATTGCAGCTCTGAGGCATTTTATTATAAAACATTGACATGCAACTATAAAAACTAACATGAACTTAAAATTGGTCATACATTTCCTTTGTTTTCTAACTTGACCTTTCTAGTAAATCTTTAGTGTCACTGGTTTTGGCTGCCATATAAGGAAACTCCCCTTCCATCAGATTTCAGAGTACAGTTCCTTGATGAGCATGTCTTATTTCTTCTTTATGGCAAAGGGCCTTATACTAATATCAACATTATCCACTGTGTCACTGTGGGTTCGAACCTCTGCAACAGTTACTATTGGAGGTAGATTTGGGTAGACTTTGAATTGCTTTGTTTGAGGCTTCACACGCTTCATGTCTATAAAATCTTATTATGGTCATGGCTCTGATTAGGCTCCTGTCTCACCAGAATCATAGTTCATCTAAGCCCAGACTCCACAGTTACCAATTACATGCCTTTACCAGAAAGCAACACAACCAGAACAGTATCTTAAAAACCAAAACGGGACCCTGTCAGGCATAAAACCTGTGGCCACCTTGATCTTGATCTTCTTAGCTTCCAGAACCATAAGAAATATGTTTCCATTTTGTGTAGTTATTCCCTCTGAATTGAATTATTCCTTCTGGAAAGACAAGAAAGACTCAGAAACTAAGGAAACTCATGAGGATCACAAAGCTCATGAAACTTACAGGACTCAGGAAACTCAGAAATTCACAAGGTCTCTCCTCTCCCCTGGATTGTATAAGAAGTAAACAATTGCTGGAGGAGAAGAGAGTTTTTTGGTGGAGCTGTCTGCAAGTCAGGGAGCTTTTTTGAGTTGTCACTTATGCTGGGGTGGAATTTTTGGTGATACAGCTGTGAAGAACACAAGCTATGGCATGGAGAAGCTACTCCATCTGACGAAAACAGCCTATGCAAACCAAGAACAGAAGAAAGTTTGGCCATGTTTAGGAAGCACAACATGGTGGCACTGTATGAAACAGAAGGGCTATCAATGTTGATAGTAAGACAGAATATTGTAACAGAGGAAGTATTTGTTAGCATTTAAAACACCAACAGAGAGAAAAACATTCGAATTCTTCACCAATAGCCAGAAAGATCATAATTCCTGGTTTCCTTGAGACAGTATTACTTTACATCTCTGATTTATGAGTAACTGCTAGAAAGAAGCTCATTTCATTCTTGGCCTTGTTCTTGTTTGTGTTATAAATTTATGATCATCTTAACAACAAGAAACCTAAACTCTCTATAAAACATCAGAGGACAAAGCAATAAGGATGAACTCATCAGAACCACGTTTTCCCAGGATGCTTCCGGCCGTTGCATGGAGTTTATACTGGAAAGGGAAAGAACTAGATGAAGATGAGAAGTATTCAGAGGTTATATAGATCTACCCTAGGCAAAGGCAGAAAGAGTCTTGGCTGTGGTGCTTACCAGTGTGTTAGGCCGCTGGACAGACGGCCCAGAGGCCCTGCCCTCCTGATATTCAACTCCTGTGTATATTTAGGTCCTTTCCCACAACAAATGGAGTTGACCTCTGTAACTAGCCAGAGGTAGTGGAAATAAGGCAGTCCTTACTCTAAGGTAAGGCTCTAAGAACTCCTCTCCTGCCTACTTCTATCATGTTATTAGGGCCTCAGACAGCCTTATGGAAAGGTCCACGTGGTGCAGAATGAGACCTGTTGCTGCCAGTCCTAAGGTGTCGGCCATGTGAGTTTGCAACTGGACACTCTGGCCCCAATCAGTGCCTCAGATGACACCAGCCCCTGAAGCAGAGCTTCATGAAAGACCCTAAACTTACAACTCCTGCCCACCCTGAATTTCGGGAGCCCCTAAAACCCATTTGTGCAATGTGTGTAATGTATGTGTGTTGTATGCACGTGTGAGCGGGCGCTCGCCTATGCAGGCACATGTGGAGGCCAGAGTTTGATGTGAGTATATCCACTTCTATTGATCTCCACACCGTTTCTTGAAAGGGCTTCTCACTGACCCTGGTAGTCTCTATTTCAGTGATATCGGCTAGCTAGTGAGCTTCCAGAATATTCTTGACTCCACCCCGCAGCACTGGGGTTACAGGTGCACGCCACCATGTCCAGCTTGTACGTGGGTGTTTGGGGGTGAAAACTCAGGTCCTACACTCACCCAGGACTTTAACCACCAAGCCATCCTGGTCCTCCATTTCCATGTTTTACCATCCTAGGGTTGGATAGGATGGTTTGTTATATGTCAGCATACAATAAATCAGAGAGACAAAAAGGAGAGGCACAAATAAATTTCATAGATCAACCTAGAGTAACCAGCGTGTGAGTTATCCTCATAGTTCCTCCTCCTCAAACTGTCGGGGCCGGGGATGGAGGGGGAATGA